CCACGGATCCATCACTAATAAAGTGCTGAAGCTCGCGGGGCGTAAGATGGCTCGCGGTTTGTCATCGACATAGAGCATAAATCCGCCCATACACGCGAAAAATCCATGCGTCACTGTCCATTCTGTGAGGGCATCAACTGAATGTTAGCCGCCACTAACCGATGGGTATGAGCATGTATTAAACCGACCTGTAAACTCGGGTCCAGGAGCGCTTGAGGTTCGATTGTGTCTTTCATTTGATTCTTGAATTGTATGAAGAAACGCGAATTCATGTTTCAAACGAATGGGATAGTTGAACTCAGTTTGCAACTCTACGAGCACTGAAAACTGCTGCGCGGCCCAGGTGATCACGATTCTGGGGCGATCAATGCTACGACCATAGAGAATAGACGACGAGAGATAACGGCAGCTTTCTTCTCGTCCATACCCGGAATAGAGGAAATCGCAGTCCAAGTGCATGCGAAAATAGTGCAGCGCAGCTCAGATGATTCCCATAAGGATCTGGTGTCGCTGCTGGGTGGACTCGGAGAGTTGCTGCTGACGTTGTGTAAGGTAACTGGTACAATTGAGTGAGGCGCAAACAGACGGAATGAATAACAGACTGCAGCCAAGTGTAGGAGGGTCATGGCGATGTCGAGGAGATGTCGGCTCATCCTGCTCTCTTTAAGGGGGTTGTCGCGTGAATATTGGCACAGAGATGCCGTGATACATGTCAAATCTGGAAATCTGAAGACTGGTGTACACAGGACAAGGCATTGCCCACACAGTACGATGTGAATTTTGCAAGAGGCGAGTCGTAATGCTATGGAAACAAGACACTGCTAGGCCTACTATCATTTTAATTTGCATTAGAATAGACCAAGTAGCAAAATTTGGTAATGCCAAGGCTTACTATATGGTGCTAGAGGATGCGATGCATCAGTGATGCACTATCTTATTGTGCCCTTTGATGTTGTATATATCCGTCCATATTCAGCAAGTACTAGTTCAAGTTGCCTGCGGATATTTCGTACCATACTTCCGACTGATAGTGCCAGAATTGCTTACTCATGCCACTCGAACCTTTGTGGAGTGCTCATCTTGTGCCCAGCTACTCAGCTTCACACTGGTAGGGCCACTTGCCATTCCAATGTAGTTACTGTTCGGATAAATTGTTTAGAATGTTAGTTCAGGGCTATGAAATTTGTCCGTACGATGTTCGCTGAGCACGTCAACCTGTTTGAACCGGTGAGTACTTGGTCACATTTTGTAGGATATTTATTTGATAGTCACTGTCGAGCGCCGAATGATGCAAACCTCTGAGAAGCCGCGGCCCGATTAGGCGGATTCTTTATGGGACAAAGTGCCTCCCGAGGCCCGGCGCAGACTCGAGTAGAGCCACTAATAACATTATGCTGCGTTCGGGGATCCATCTATGAGGAATTAAATGTAAGAGCGCAGAAGAGACTGTACTATACTGAGGTGTTCAAAAAGGAACGCGAATGTAAGAGCGGCGTTGGTGGAAATGGCACAGAAACTTTGCAAGTTCGACCATTTTGATATCGGTAAGTGTTGCTATTACAGTATAATGCTGTTTTGTGGACCAGATCATCAACAAAGATTCGAAATGACTTTTTCGGACAATGAAGTGTTTCCTGTGTGATCCCGGGCTGTGATGAGAGTTACTGTGATGGCCCCAATATCATGCAGTACTAGTGTGTTGTATATGAAACTGCAGTGCGATTTTTTCAAAACTCGGCCTCGAGCGGTACTTTTTCCGGTACTTTTAGCACCCAAATTAGTCAAAGCGATGCACGCATACCGTGTCGCCGACTCATCCATAAGTACTAGCCTTGTACTCAGTAGCCCTACTCAATTACATTTTATTTCGCCCATTTAATTTTGTGCAAGCAATATACATCTCATTTGCGAGTAACAGCCAGTGGGAATGGAACGGAAATCGTAAGTATTCGTCTTCGAGCAACTGCCCATTCACGACCGACGTAGACGTCTGCTCTCCTAGTGGCCTACTACTCTATGTTTCATTCTTCACTCTCTCTCACTCGGAACACTATCTACAACTGACCAGTGACGACCAGCATACAATGCTCTTTTGAAAACTTCGCATTGCAACAAGCCAGTTCCAGTTATACTCCAATCTGGCGCGAACATTAGCGCGTCTGACGACTCTGGCAGAACTATTCTGACCTGCACCGAGGCTCACGAGTCACCATCAGTTAATCAGTGTCACCCTTCACTTCGTGAGCCCTTCGGCCGGTATTGAGTATAGGTGAAGCGAGACATCCCGAATGCAAGCTCGGGGTGTCCGCGTAACCAATAATATATTCTCGCACCCTCAGTGCAAAGCTCGAGGGCGTCGGCGATAAAAAATAATTCGAGTGCGAACACTAAAGGGGTAAAAGCGAAGTGAATAGAAGCGATGCAAGTTGCGAGAAATACGCGAGATCAAGACTCGGTACCGTGGAAAGAGCCTTCGAGAGGAAAGGGTGTAGCCGAGTGTACATCTAAAACTCATCTTGAGTTACCACAGCCGAGGTTCGTCAACCAGGACGATCGAAGTCCATCTTCTGCCCAAGATAAAGCTTGGCTTTAAGTTCGTCCGGTAAACATGGAGCACCGGAAGGGACAACACTATGGGTGCTTCAGCATGATACATGCCCTCCAGGGTGGTCGGGCTGCAAATGCAATGACCGGTTGAAGTCTTGGGAAGGAAGTACGTCATTGGAAATCGCAAGAGGTGAGTCAGAATATAGAAAAAAAACATTCGTGCATGTAATGTATTACCGCACATGGTGAACACATGCCAGCAGAAAGGACCTGTGTGGTAAGCCCTGGCATTCTGAAGCCGAGAGAATCGATTAATCGCATAGGACCTTCACATTGAGTAGCGGAGGCCGTGGCTTATCATCCAGGCGAGGAATTCCTTGTGTCTACCAGATCAACATTAACCATTCGGAATTCGTGACAATTTGGTATACAAAAGGAGCTCAGCGATCAGGCGTGAAAATGAAGTTGCTGAGCGTGGTGAGCTGTGGTCAGTGGAAGGAAGATCATGAAATCAGCCCTGGCACTCTGAAGCTAAGAGTATCAAGGGCAAAGAAGCGATTATATGAGACCTGGATGTTCATAGAGTAACGAAAGGGGTGGGATATCATCCAAGTGAGGAGCTCCTTGGGTCTACCAGATGGGTCACCCGATAGACACGATGAGCTCAGCATGAAGATACGATTAAAGTCGCTGCAGCTGGTCGTCGTGGTCGGATGACAAACGTATACAACCGGCAACGCCCGGAAGATCTACGTACTTAAATATTGGTTCCCACTCTCTTGCATCCCTTTTTCACTGAAATTGGCAACGACAACCTGCGATAATGGAGACCTCAACAAGCGCTGGCGCTGCTGCTTCACTATTCGCTGTGATTGCGGTAAGTCATCGGTTTCTCTTGCTTTTCCTGCCCTCCCTCATTTAAATCCGAAGTCGCTATTGTACGGCTACTCCTATCGCACAGAGCCATATCACCCAATGGCGTGCATCCACTAGGCTCAGGGAAAACCCTATTGCATCTTGCCGTGTCTATCGGTCGTGCAGACAGGCTGTCGATCAGTTCAGATAACAGGCCGAGCACGAGTCTGTGGTCTGTGCTGAAGGATGGTATTTCAATGGATTTGACGAATATGTTGCAGCGGATGGTGAGTTTTCTTTGGCTGCGGACTCTGTGCACTCGACCTTATTTGAATGAAGGCGGAGGACATGGAGTTCTCGGAGTATCGTGAGCGCCTCACTTTTGTGATTGCTGATCGTGGGGACTCATCATTTGATAGTCAATGTTGCTGCTTGCAGGAGAGATCCGTAACGACGGATAGCATCTGTGGCCGCATTTGCGATGTCAAATTATTCTTCGACCATTGCCCGTATGTACAGCTAAACCGTTTAATTTTAATCGTATGCTCGTAAGTACCATCCATGCGTCCCTTGCAATCAGATGCTCAACCCATCCAGAGCTAAACACTCTCAATACGTTAAGACTTGAGAAGGAGTATCGCTACGTTTCTGAACAAGTCAACTATCATCCCTCAAGTATCTCAAGTGTACTGCTGCTGGCACTCAGGGCAAGGCCGCCGAGCACTTCCCATGAAAGATACTACCGACGTCTTCTGGTTCATCTCGGGCTCTCCCACTATCGATCACTACGGGTGAGTGACTTCCTCTTCATGCATCGAAAATGAAACCACGTTGCTGCAGGTTACGAACCACCGCACTGGTGACAGTCTAAGTTCCACTAACAAGGAAATAAATAATCATGGCTTGTGCGCAGACCTCACAGATGGGCCGCTTCGTGGGTGTCTCTTTATCATGAAATGTATTCATTTGTGTTGCAGACTACGCTTCAGGTCGACGATCGACAGTAGGGCTCATGCCTTAATTCGAGCCGCCTGCCCCCGGAATGATGGAACGACAATCGGTTGGTTCGTCATATTGGAACAGTCTACTCAGATTGGAAAGAACGATGGCGTGCGCAAAAATCAGGATAATTAGCAGAATGGAACCAGAATGTGCGTCGCGTCGGTCCAAACGGGACGAATGATGATGCATGGTTGATCCTACCAAGATGCTCCATGTCAGCCCGAGGAAGTCCGATAACGAAACCAACCACAGCGTATCTTGTGATATTGGGCGGGTCGCTCGCTTACTCAATATCATGTGCCTTCAATTGCAACTTGTCTCGCTGCAATTTTCCGGATGTGATGCTCCGTGCCAAATCAAAGAAGCGCTGCCGTTACCTGCACACCTTCAAATCCGCCTAGCTACTCATCGGATGGCGTTGATACCTCGATTGTCAGTCCCTTCTTATACTTAACCTTTAACTTCAAGATCGTCAACATCATGATAGTGTTGCTGTTTTCCCACTAAGCAATCTTCCAATTGCGATTCCGAATTGCGGGATCGTAAATGCAGCGGAGAATCCTTTTGCTCGGTGAATTAACAGTGATGGGAGAAAAACACGCTAATTTAACAGACCTCGAAACCTGGGGTATATTGTGTCCTCGTCACGGACTGCCCAATGTGACCACAGCCGCACACATGCACGGCATGCACTCATGCGCGTGCTATAAGTGTTCGCGGTCACGAGGCTCAGTAAAGACGGTGCCGGATCGTAGTTTCGGTCACTCCGGCCCTCCTCCAATTGTATATATGATCAAGTTGCTCTCAGAAATATGACCTGCAAAATTTCATGGCTTTTCACCAGAAGATGCCCATCATGTCGCGATTTATGCGGGTTGCTTACCTCCTCATGCTCGTCGCTCCCATGGTCTCGGCGATCGAGCTTACAATCCCGCTCGTTGCGCCCTCGGGTGCAGCATCAGTTAAGGGCAACCTCGTTTCACTTTCAATCGAGCAAGATAGATGGGTCGATTGGGCAGGGACGACAGAACCGAACACGTTTTTCAACAACGTCCTTGATAACTTGGTCCAAATCACCAACACTCCTCCGTTTGTGAGAATAGGTGCTGACTCAGAGGACCACACTGACTTCAGCTATGATATCGAAGTAAATTCCTTTTGGTGTTGAATTGACATGCGTGTTAAATAGAGTGCAGTACGAAGAAGATATTTTCCCTGCTTCGACCGCCATCACGCCATATCCAGAAGCCACTAATATCACTGTTGGGCAAGGCTTCTATGACATCATCTCTCATCTCCCACAGGGTAATCTATTTTTACGAGGACACTCAAGCAACTGACTAGACCTTTCCTTCAGGGACGCAGGTTCACTGGGGCGTCAACCTGAGGGAGTACAATCTTACGGCAGCCAACCTCGAAACTGTTGCGCTTATGAACGCATTTTCCTCCCCTGCTGTAGTAGAGAAAGGCATCACGCTGAAGTTCATCGAGGTCGGTAACGAGGCTGATCTCTACTACGACAATGGTGGTCGTAACAGCAGCTGGAATGTACAAGAATATGTCTCTGAGTAAGTTCACGGTGATGGCTGCCTGAGTAGTGCTGATCAGCATAAAGGTGGGAGAAATTTGCGTATAACGTGTCGATGACAGCCAACCTCTCCAACACATCATATACAAAATTGATCGGCGCTGCATTCGCTGGATCTTCTCACAACAACCTTAGTGGCTTCTCTCCTCAAGCTATATTCAACCTTGGCATCCTTGAATCCCCTGCAGGCGAGCTAATCGAGACGTATGTCAAACACGGCGTCAGAAACTGGATTGTGTGCTAAATTTCCTGGTTAGCATTTCGCAACACCAGTACAGTGGCTCGTTCTGTACTGGCGGCGGAGCCGTGCTGCAGGATTTGATGACCAAGAGCTATATCCGCGGTAATCTCTCCGTGTTCAACCCCGATATTGAGGCAACCTTTGCCAATGGTCTAAACTATATCCTCGGGGAGACAAATAGTAAGTTGTCATTCGAGAACTGCTTGACGGCGCTATGATTACTAACTTGTTGTTAGGTATGAGTTGCCACGGTGCACCTGGTAAATCACCAACATAAACAGACGATAAATGACTTACATATGAGTATCCTTTTCTATCTATCAGATGTCAGCAATACAGCTGGCGCTGCCCTCTGGTTACTCGACTACTCTTTGTATGCCACACAAATTGGTATCAGTCGCATACACTTCCACGAGGGCATTGGCTACAAGTACAATTTGGTCGGTACCACAATTGAGGCAATGCAGTGTCGCTCATTGAAGCCTCTCCTACGCAGATCCAGCCCGTGACGCTTAACTACTCAATCCTCGATGGCTCTCCCATTGCACCACTGGCACCACACATACAACCACCGTACTACGCCGCTATCATCGCCGCAGAGGCTATCGGGACATCTGGAACTACGCAAGCAGTCGAAATTGTCATCGACGAGAATGATGTGTCAGGCTATGCATTTTACGAAAACGGTGTCCTCTCGAAGGCCGTGCTCATAAACACGATCGCATACTTTGTTGGCGCTGGTGAGAGGAACTCGACTCACATCGATTTTTCTTTCACTGGTTCCGGAAATACTGCAAAGGAGATGAGTGTGAAGACGCTGAAAATTGGGTATGGCTATTTCATCGATCGTCGCGGTCTGAATGCTAAGGCTATCCGTAGGTATGCAACAGATACCACTAATCTGACCTGGGGAGGTCAGACATATGAGACTAGCGATGGTAGAGTTAGCGGGCACCTGACTGTCGACATATTACCTGTCAGCTCTGGAGTGGACTTGCAAGAGACGGAAGCGATCCTCGTCACGTTTCTTTGACGTGGATGGTTGATCTCCAGTCGAGCCAAGTTTAGACTGGCGGTTTTTCCTTGCCACGGATGGTTCATATTCCTTTCTATCCTAAGGTCGGTAATGCTGCTTCAGTGGTAGTTGGGGAGCAAGCTTCATGCCAATCGCGATGACTAGTTGGGCGATTTTTTATAACGACCCTACTAGTAGGCTGGTTCCACAGATGTCTAGATAGTGTCACCCGTTTACCAGTAGTACTACATCTCTACTCACATTTTACTTTCCGACAACGATTATTACTGTAAGGATTCAATATCCTTTATGCCCCGACCGCGCTTCAAAATGAAGACGATCGAATCGCCACGCGTTCGAACTCGTCCATGTGACACACTGATGCGAAGAGCGTCACTCTTCGCATCCGAGTCACGCGGATACATTCCTTTACATCTCCTTTTCACTTTCTTTCGTTATCTCACCTTGTGCTCACGCTCCACGATCTCCTTGCTTCACCGAAGTATTTTCACCTCTCCATATGCTTCGTATTCTCATTCAGGTCTAGCCAAGTACTCGAAAACGTATATAAACCGCCCATGTACACTCATACCTATAGCAGAATCCTAGACGCTGATTCCCCGCTCCAAGCTCGATCGAAAACCATCGCAGAAAGTCCTCGACATATACGTTTACTCTACTCGTCTCGTTCGCCGTTGCGCTCGTCACTTATCTACTTCGTCTTGTTACATTTCCCCTTCGAACTCACAACTAGCCTTACAAATTTGGAGCCCACCGCGAGGGGAATTGTTCTCGAGCAACCCCTTGCACCCCGAGTTTGATCCGCTGATCTCTTCCTTGATCTGCTGATCGTTCTCTTCTAGAACCCGGTCTTTTGACCAACTTAGAATTCTCGCAATTACTAAGTACTACCACCCTAACGCACAGCTACGCCTCCAACAGAACGAGCCATCTGCACTGGCCACCTCGAAGAACACCTCAACCAAGAAACGCCGAAGCCGTGCCAACACCTACAACGCCCTTAGTACCTCCCCTCCCGACACAACAAAACCATTCCTCGACGCCCCGGCCTTTACCCCAGCTCGCTATAGATTAGATCAACGCGCCAGAGATTAGATCAACGCGCCAGACCTTTCCAAGACGCAACGGACGGAGCCCCTTCAGTGAATTCACCCGTCTCAGACGGGCAGCCGGGCGTGACAATGTACCAATAGAGACGGGCCACCCGGTGCCGGCCCATGGCAATAATTGTACCGTGTTAGACGAGTGGGCCGAGGGGGTGGAGTGTCCAAGGCAAACGGATGGGCCGGGTGTATATAGTATAGATGGTAGTATAGCAATGTACTATATAGGAAATTATGAATAGTAGTAGTGAATCCAGTGTGTGATAGATGAGTGGGCCAGAGGAATGGAGTGCAATATAGACGAGTGGGCCGGGGAACTGGGGTGTGATGGAGACGAGTGGGCCGGTAAATGAGGTGCAATGGAGACGAGTGGGCCGGTACATAAGGTGCAATGAAGACGAGGGGGCCGGAGAATAGGGTGCAATTGAGACGAGTGGGCCGGTATAGCAGGTGCAATGGAGACGGGTGGGCCGGTATAGCAGGTGCAATGGAGATGGGTGGGCTGGTAAATATGGTGCAATTAAGACGAGTGGGCCGGTATAGCAGGTGCAATGGAGACGGGTGGGCCGGTATAGCAGGTGCAATGGAGATGGGTGGGCCGGTAAATATGGTGCAATTAAGACGAGTGGGCCGGTATAGCAGGTGCAATGGAGACGGGTGGGCCGGTATAGCAGGTGCAATGGAGACGGGTGGGCCGGTAAAGGAGGTGCAATGAGGACGAGTCGGCTGGTGTTATTGGGTGCAATGAAGACGAGTGGGCCGGTGATATGGGGTGCAATGAAGACGAGCTGGCCGATGATATGGGGTGCAATGAAGATGGGTGGGCCGGCATTATAGGGCGCAATGGAGATGGGTGGGCCGGTGATATAGGGTGCAATGAAGACGAGTGGGCCGGTGATATGGGGTGCAATGAAGACGAGCTGGCCGATGATATGGGGTGCAATGAAGACAAGTGGGCCGGTGATATGGGGTGCAATGAAGACGGGTGGGCCGGCATTATAGGGCGCAATGGAGATGGGTGGGCCGGTGATATAGGGTGCAATGAAGACGAGTGGGCCGGTGATATGGGGTGCAATGAAGACGGGTGGGCCGGCATGATAGGGTGCAATGGAGACGGGTGGGCCGGTATTATGGGGTGCAACAATGACCGGTATTTATGTAACCGGTTGCTTGTGGTAACATAGCACTCAATCTGGCGATTCCACCGGTGGTCTGATCATGTAAAATGGTTAAGATTTGACAAAGTTATGAGCCCTACAAGGGAAAGCCATAAATTTAGAGGATATTATGATATATTGTATCTAGACCATTGCAACCGGTATTTTTTGACCGGTATTTACATGACCGGTTGCTTGTGGTAACATAGCACTCAATCCGGTGATTCCACCGGTGGTCTGACCATGTAACATAGTTAAGATTTGACAAAGTTAGGAGCCTTACAAGAGAAAGTCACAAAGTCAGAGGATATATCATATCTAGACCATTGTGACCGGGATTTTTCAACCGGTAGTTATGTGACCAGTTGCTTGTGGTGACATAGCACTCAGTCCGGTGATTCCACCGGTGGCCTGACCATGTAAAATGGTTAAGATTTGACAAAGTTATGAGTCTTACAACAAGAGAAAGTGACAATTTCAGAGGATATATCATGTCTAGACCATTGTGTCCGGTATTTATGTGACCGGTTGTTTATAGTAAAACATAGCACTCAATCTGGTGATTCCACTGGTGGTCTGACCATGTAAAATGGTTAAGATTTGACAAAGTTATGAGCCCTACAAGAGAAAGCCATAAATTTAGAGGATATTATGATGTATTGTATCTAGACCATTGCAACCGGTATTTTTTGACCGGTATTTACGTGACCGGTTGCTTGTGGTAATGTAGCACTCAATCCGGTGATTCCACCGGTGGTCTGACCATGTAAAATGGTTAAGATTTGACAAAGTTATGAGCCTTACAACAAGAGAAAGTGACAATTTCAGAGGATATATCATGTCTAGACCATTGTGTCCGGTATTTATGTGACCGGTTGTTTCTAGTAACAGTACTCAATCCGGTGATTTCACCGGTGGTCTGATCATGTAAAATGGTTAATATTTGACAAAGTTATGAGTGCCTACAAGAAAAGTCACAAATTCACTGGCAGAGGATATATGATATCTAGACCATTGTGACCGAGATTTTTTGACCGGTAGTTATGTGACCGGTTGCTTGTGGTAACATAGCACTCAATCCGGTGATTTTACCGGTGGTCTGATCATGTAAAATGGTCAAGATTTGACAAAGTTATGAGCCTTACAAGAGAAAGCCACACATTCAGAGGATATTATGATATATTGTATCTAGACCATTGTAACTGGTATTTTTTGACCAGTATCTATGTGACCAGTTGCTTGTTGTAACATAGCACTCAATCCGGTGATTCCACCGGTGGTCTGATCATGCAAAATCATTAAGATCTGACAAACTTACGAGCCTTACAAGATAAAGCCACAGATTTAGAGGATGTTATATCTAGACCATTGTGACCGGTATTTTTGTGAACAGTTGCTTGCAGTAATATAGTACTCAATCTGGTGATTCCACCGGTAGTCTGATCATGTAAAATGGTTAAGATTTGATAAAGTTCTGAGCCTTATAAGACCAAGTCATAAATTCAAAGGATACAGTGTTGTATCAGCTTATATCTGGACCATTGTAATCAGTATTTTTGCAACCGGTTGCTTGTGGTAATGTAGCACTCAATCAGGGGATTCCATTTTGCCCCTTTGATAGGAGAGTGTTCTAGCACTGTCAAAACATATTTAGGAGTATATATTAACATATTCCACCACTTAGTTGACCCCCTGAAGGGCTACATCAAACAATATAGCATATATACATGAAAACATAACTGATAAGAACCCTCCAACACTATCAAGGATGTTATTGGTAATCAGACACTTGGGATATGTCCCATGTATATCCCTAGTCATGGTCCTAAAATTCTGGAAAGATCCCTCAAGTATTGACGGTAAGATAAGTAAAACAACATAGGCTTGACATATGACAATTTACCCCTGTCACTGAAAGTCACTGACACATATCACACACACCAAAGATTTTATTAAAAATGCAGTAGTATGTATAGTAGACTACATAATGAACCTAAAATACACATTGCCCTGAAGGTAAAGTCTTTGTAGAAGAGTGTGGTGAGGAAATATTAGGATTGGTAAGTAAAAGTCCAACCACTACATATACACCAAACTGGTGAGTTTCGATCTTTTGGGCTTTTGGACTTTCCCACACTCTATTTCAGAGATATTTCACTGCCCTAGCTCTCAACTGTTAGTGGATCCTTTTATAAATCTGAGACCATGATATTGACCATGCTTAGAATATATTGCAAGCATCTGATTACTAGATTGTGTCCATTGGAGAATGTAGGCCCCTTATCAGTACACATACCCCCTTTCCCTTAGATAACAATATTATACCATATTTCTAACTGATCCTTGGGATGAGAAGTAGGTATATATGTAGTAAGGATAATACATGAGTAGTCTGGATCATTTATGCAATGGTAAAGTAGGGGAAAACACCAAAAATGTGACAACTGCAATCTTAGAAGTTTTAGCCTGTATAGAAGGATTCTGTAGGTATCCTGATGTACCAACCTGGTGTACATACTCTAAATCTGTCTAGGAATGGTCCCCATATCATTCTGCAGCTGTGTTCCTGTAGGAAAACCTTTCCCAGAGGATGGACCACCAGGAGAGGGTGAGTACACAGCATCACAAGGTTTTGTCTGTGGATGTTAAGGTCATGCTCAAAGGAAGGAGAACTCAAAGGGCTTGACTTCAGCTTGTGTGCTGCACCCCTTACCCAAGTATGTGCCCTTAATTTATGAGAGGCAGG